AATTTGACATTCAGATAACTGAGGCATATAGGACCCCAACTAGCTACAATCAAAAAAAATCTACACCTAGACATATAATAATCAAGATCCCAGAAACCCAACAGAAGAACAGAATACTACAAGCAGTAAGAGACAGGAAACAAATCACATACAAAGGAAAGCCCATCAGAATCACAGCAGACTTTTCAACACAAACCCTTAGGGCAAGGAGAGCCTGGAATGAGATATTTCAAGTACTAAAAGAGAACAACCTTCAACCTACACTGATGTATCCTGCAAAACTCTCTTTCAAAATGAAGAGGGAATTAAGATACTTCCAAGACAAAGAACACCTGAGAAACTACACAAATACCAAACCAGCACTACAAGCAATTCTAACAAGATCCTAGAAAAAGACAACGAAGGTAACAACACCATGAGGCCCAACAGAGCAATCAAATAGGCAAGGCAAGAAATTAAAAGGAGAAGGTGAAAAAGTAAAAAGAGTCAACAAAAGGCCAATAACATGTCAATAATAAGTCAGTACATATCAGTTATAACCAGCAATGTCAATGGCCTCAGCTCACCAATCAAGAGAAATAGACTGGCAAAATGGAATAAGAAGCAAAATCCAACAATATGTTGTATACAGGAAACACACCTAGTGCAAAAAGAAGCCCTTAGACTGAAAGTGAAAAGATAGAAAACAATTCTCCATGTGACAGGAGCCCCCCAAAAAAACAGGGGTAGCAATCTTATTTGTCGACAAAGTAAATTTCAAACCAAAACTGATTCTAGTATTATTGATGTAGGACAGTACTGTATCATACCTCTATGAATGTAAAATATCTAGTACCTGCTTTATGATACATAGTAGGGACCATGCTTTATCAGAGCTACATTTAATGATATTACTCTAGAATGTTCTCTTTCCAGATGATGATTAAGAGGCTAATAGAAAAAATGGTGCCAGGTACCACAGCAGCAACAGAACTTTGCTGTTGTCTGGATATTATTCTTTTCTTTGGGTTTTTTTTTTTAATGGAATGTGCTGAATGTCTATAATTTTGTTCAGATGACTGCAGAACCTGGAAAAGCTGTTGCTGCTATCGATGCATAACATACTATTATTAATCTTTAATATATGTATACACACACACACACACACACATATATATAAATTGAATTTTGGGAAACTTTAACGGTGCTGCCAACTTTGGAAAAAGTCATCCCAATTTACTGTGTTGACTTGGCATTGTACACAAATGGACAACCATATTGGTCTAGAAATGTTAATTAATTAATTTATTTTTTTTCCATGTGTACAGGGATAACACCGTACTAAATATGCAAGGTAATATCTACGTGGGTTTGATTACAGAAACTAATAAAGTATTCTCTAAATAATAAAAAAAAAATAAGATAAGACTATAAGAGCGAGAGGCAATTTAAATATGTTCAGGGACCATTTTCATCTCCAGAATTAAGGATTATTTTGATGTTACATCATTGCCTTTTCTCTTTTACTTTCCTTTTTAGTTTTATTTTAGGATTCCCTATTTTTAATGTTCATACAGAGATTTCTTTAACTGAAATACCGAATAGTTTCTTTGGTGTGAAAAACTATAATAGTACACAGGATCCTAATGAGACAATTAATAATGTGAAATAGGAAGTAAAGGGCTAAAGGTGTAAGGAAAGTGGGAAGGGTGGGGGAAAGGTAATAAGGGAGAGGAAAAAAATATGAGAAACTGAAAAAATGGAAATAAAGTGTTTGTAAATGGGGAGGGGAGGAGGGGGTGAAGGGAGGGCAGGGACAAGGGGAAAAATGAGAATCAAGACCTATTATGTAAAGGTACAGAATCCCAATGATGAATGTAATTGTACTGTATACCTAGATTGTACCAATAACCTCAATAAAAACCAAAAAAACAAAAAAACAAAAAAAACCTCTGAAACTACATTAAAGCATTCTATTATTACATATAAACTAGATTTCTTAGTCCTTGAATCATATTATTAAATATATTAAAAATGCACGTGTGTGTGTGTGTGTGTGTGTGTGTGTGTATATATATATTGTTTATTTATTTATACCAGGGATCGAACTCCAGCCCTTCCACTTGCAAGGGAGGCGATGGAACCACTGAGCCAAACCCCCAGGCCATATTTATATATTTTATATGCACGTGTATATAAATAAAACTGAAAACTCTGAATCTACAAATGTTGCAATTATTCACAGATAAATGAACTAACAAAATAAATGTCTATATGATTAAGAAAGCCACTTCCACCAGGTCAGTGGTACACACCTGTAATTCCAGCTACTCAGGAGACTAAAGCAGGAGGATTACCACTTTAAGGCAAACCCAATCAATTCAGCAAGACCCTGTCTCAAAACTTAAAATAAGAGAAAGAGGTCTGGGGATGTAACTCAGTGCTACAGTGCTTACCTAGCGTGTATGAAGCCCTACTTCAAACCCCAGTACTACAAAAGAAAAGGGAGGAAGGGAGGGAAGGGAGGAGAAAGAAGGGAAAGAGAAAAGAGAGGGGGAAAGGCAGATAGGGAGAGGGGGAGAGAGAGGGTACAGAAAGAGGGAGGGAGGGAAAGAGGTAGAGGTAGGGAGAGAGATATAGATATACAGAGTCAGACAGGCAGACAGACAGATATGCATTTCCTGAGGCTATAGCTTCCTAATATGCATGAGGCCCTGGACTTATTCCCAATACCACAATGGAAAGAAAAGGACTAGAAGAGATTTCCAATAATAACTAAAAGTACATAACAACTGTAATATACTGACGTATGTATGTATGTATTTATTTCTGGTACCAGGGACAGAACTGAGGACCTTGCACTTGTGAGGCGGGCACAGTGCCACTGAGCTAAATCCCTGGCCCCAGTTTTTAAAAATTATTTTAAGGGTTATATGACCATCCCCCACACATAGACTACTAAACAAAGATAATTCAAATCTATCTACATAAGTCAACAGATTAATCAAGCAGTAGATATAAAGGAATGCACAATTAAAGTCTTCCAACCTGCCCCCCAGGTGCACAACAAAGAAAAAAAGCACCAGATAAAGCTCTTTTTAAAGCAGTACATAAACTCAATTTTGACTTTGTAAAGGTTGACTTTTCTTCAAAAGTAACAGTAATACTAAAATAAAAAGACAAGCAATTTGGGCTGGGGATTTAGTTCAGTGTCACTGTGCCTACCTTGCCAGCTCAAGGATCTGAATTAGATTTCCAGTACAAAAAAAAAAAAAAAA